AAGTAGTCGCATGTCACAAACAATTTCCGTGCGGGGTGCAATTTAATATGTGGAAGGGCGATGTCAAACCTTTGTGGTGAGTAAAACAGCTGACGCCAAAGTAGTAAACGAAAATATGCTTACTACTACCACGAAAAAAGTAGGTAGTTGTGCAAAGCATACAACGGGTTGATGATGCCATAAACCTATCCATATCAAAGAAGCATAGCGAAACGAGTTATTCGTGTTAGACAGTGTCGCGATAGTTAACTGCCAGACAAAGCCATCTCTTTGCGACTACAGGATGGGTCTTAATCAAAGGACTGTTTACTTCCTCCCCATCAGACAGCAGGTGAAGGCGGCTGTGATTTCAGCAACGAAGTTGGCGCTTGCAGTTGCGTCAGTATTAGTGGGTTTCTTATCGCTCACGCCGGTGCTGCCACTCGTATGCGCGCACAATTTGTCTCGACCTTCAGGCTTAGTGGGTTAAGATATAACCACGAAACCTGACAGGGCACAGGTAATCACAGTAGTCGTTCAGGATTTAGGATGAGCTGACTGCGCTCCTGTGGCATTGCTCCCAGAATCTCGTCACCTAAACGGCGGAAAAAGATGTTAAGGAACGATTATTGCATGTTCTTTCCTCTCTCTCCTTCTCAGTCGGAAGATTTTTTATTCCATGCCTTGTTCACGAGTAACGAATAAACAGTTGAGAGCCTAATGCTCCTGTTGTTGGACCGTCCACTCGCCAGCAAATATCTCCACCCCTACCCTCCTCCTGTCCCCCAAAGTAAGGGACCTAGAGTCTTCAGACGACATAGTCAGGGCCGAATACCTCCACCTTAAGCCTGCCAAACCATCTGGGCCGGATAGAATTTCAGCACTCACACTACGGGAACTGGAAAACGAACTGTGCAAACCGCTGTCACCTTCCAAAAGGCTTCCGGAGAAGACGAACTCCCAGAAGAATGGAAGTGGGCATTCGTCACCCACTATCCCTATCTCATGAAATGTCACCCGGAATTCTGAAATGCGTTTTCTATTCAAACGCATTAATTACGTATGGTTTTAAAAATAACGATCGTACACCCTAATCTCAATATATTTTGGCCACATCAGGATGCCGGCTTTTTAACGAGCTTCTTTCTGACCGCTAAGTAAAAGTATGTACTATAAAAAGTAGCTACTTAAGTAGTATGCCTTTTCCTTATTGATTTTGGCTGCCTTTATAGATTCAAATATATTTTTAGGAAAAAAATGCAAGAAAAATTATTTCTTGTACGCGTTTGGTAGCAAATTACGCCTTCTTTAAATGTTATACCTAAAGAAAGGGTGTCTTTCGGTTTTAAAAATATTTCTTATAATGAGCTTTTTTACAATTTTCAGGGGTGTTCATTCATGGAACGTCGTATCCGTCAATTTGTTAATGCTGCCTTTACTGTATAAAGCATGCTCCATTCTTATTGTAACATTTAATGAGAAATATGTGAGATCTTCCTGAAACAGTAGGCGAAAACGCACTTTTCCTTAAACAGGGTGTACACAGTGCGCAGTTTGTAAACCTTGAATTCCAGTGTAGCAGTCAGTATGCCTCAAAATTATTCGGCAATTTAGAAACTTTCTAAAACCGAAAGATACCCTTTCTTTAAGTATGAAATTTAAAGAAGGCGTAAT